AACGATGGAGAGATCCACACTGTGACGAGACCTGGAGGAGAGTTGGAAATGTTTAAGAAGGTGCAGATCCGTCAGACGCTCTGACTGAGGGCGGAGGCGGCGTGAGATCTGTCGGCGGGGGATTGACTCGGCGAGGTTCTTGTGCGTGCGTGGAAATACTTTGAGTGTTCAGACTTAATTGGATACAGTGTGTAGCAAGGCTGTGTGTGTGTGTGTGTGTCTGTCGTGAGGCTTTGTTGTTCTGCCAACACTGCCCCCATAGAAGGCCTGACGCACACGCAGTAGAAACCGTACAGAAGGAAAAAGAAATGAATGGGAAGAAAAGATAAAAGAGCGGAGATACAGGCGAGCACAAACAGACGGGGCTGAGGGGTGAGAAAGTGGGAGAAAGAAAAAAAAAAAATAATAATAAAGCCTCCTGGTACATCAACAGGTGGCCTGAGTTTGAGAACGATGGATATTGTGTTTCACTTGAACCACATGAGACAATGAAACATCAGACCACCCTCCGAGGCAGCTCCACGTCTCACTGTTTAATCCGGTGCCTTCCACTTCAAATGGACCCGACACATGCCATCAGCGCCGCATCAATTAGCGTCCACAGAGCTGGTAAAAAAAGAGGGGCCGCATTCCAAACTACTCCTGTATTGTTTTTAACAAGTGACGACTCGCCGACGTGCGCCAACACAGAGGCTGCCAGGGCGGCGCTGGATTCCTGCACTTTATTTACACACTCGGTACCGTGGTGTTGACAGCACAGACATTTTCACATCCCTCACGAGTGTTGATCGTTAGTAACGTCTGCCGAACGGCACGGAGGGAAAATAATTATGAAGACAGAGAGAGAGAGATTATCATCTTCATCATCGTCATCATCATCGAGTGTGAACTGTTAATGAACTTCCAGGGTTATGAGACGGACGACGCGGCTGGTTTTGTGTGATTGAGACGTTTGAAGAGCCGAATTGTCTGGCATGAAGATTAGTGATATAGCATTTCAGTGTTGTCTTCCACTCGCATCAGTTGTCAGATGATGATGATGATGATGATGATGATGATGATGATGATGATGTCGTCTGGTTTCCTGGAGATGAAGCTGCTTTAATCCTGAAACAAAACTCAAATAATACATATTAGCAATTAGCATCTGTGAAGCAGCACCGTTTTTTTTTTTTTTTTTTTTTGAGAAATTCAAGAGAACTGAAGAAGAGGAAAATATGACTTTCATTTCCACATCTTATCTTTTATCTTAATAGAAAACACGGAGAGACGTCCTGATACTAATCAACATAAATTCACAGAAACATTTACAAAAATGACAAATTCAATAAGAATGGTTTTATGTGTGTGTGTTAATATATGAGCGTAGAGACAGTGGTGAGACACAATTTTTTTTTTAATTCAAATGATTAAAAACTACATCGTCGGCAGATTGTACAAGCACTCAATATGGAAGCGTTAAAGATATCATGACATACGTAGATTAGATTCTTAAATTAACATATCAGATTCAGATGTACATGCTTTGAGCATCACGAGGAACGAAAACAGGGAAACAGGACTTTAAGGTTAGCGTACATAACAAGAGGGGGATTCTTAAAAAAAAAAATATGGAGAAAAAAATGGAACTTTGTGCTCTTTAATCCAATATACAAATCAGATTTACACTTGTTGTTGTTTTTTTGTTTGTTTTCTAGTTTTTTAGAAAAGAATGATAATAAAGATCAACCAAGACAGGATTCATTAACCACCCAGCGTTAACATCGAAACTACGACCCAGGCAGTTGTAAAGATCTTTGGTGTTTAGTTTAAGAAACCACACATAAAAACACACGTGTGGTTTCTCTAGCTGCATGACTGTGACCCAGAGAATACAAAAGCTCCAGAGGAGAAAGCAGGAAACAAGATTTCCTCCGAGTTTAAAAAATAAAGAGGAATGCGACATGGCTGTTGTTTGTTTTCAAAAAACTGTATAAGGCAGAGAGAGTTTTTTTTTTTTTTTTTTTTTTTGTGTTGCTAAAAAACACCTTGCATAACTTACTTCACCTGAGCTGCGCACACTCACCTCGGACGGCACTTTGAAAGGAAATCTCAACTGTGTGGCAATTAAATACCCGCCGCACAGAGTCACGAAAGCAAATCATTTCCTTCTTACGGAAGAATTTTTGAAAAAGAAAATGTCACGAGACACCGCAGACGGCCCAGCGTGGCCTGTGCTTGGATCACCTGTGCAGGTGTGTGAAGTCCGGGCACAGCAGACGCCCTCTGGCACTGATCGCTAAATCAGACCTGCAGATAAGGCATCGGCACACGGTGGCTTCAAAGCACTCATTTGAGAACAAAGGAACCTCCGCACAACAATTTTTTTTTTTTTTTTTTGCACAACTGTGTCTGGTGTTGGTGTAAAAAGATACCCGTTTGAACTGTCACTTCATCATGCACTCTCTCTCTCTCTCTCTCTCTCTCTCCCTGCAGCGACACACACACACACACACACACACACCTGTGTGTTGGATCGTGACACCGTTAATTATCCCGTGAATGATTCGCTCAAAGGCCACTTTAAGTGTAATTCACAAATACTGGCTTTTTTTTTTTTTTTTTTTTAAATAAATATTAAGCTCGGCAGCATCTCATAAATGGTGTGACCTAAACCATAGTGCAAAAAAAAATAGTAGGCAAAGACGCGTTCAGCTGAGGAAGAGAGTTTGGACACGGTGGGATGTTCAAAGGATGGCTTTAGAGAGTGATGTCACCAACTGAAGGTTTGGGCGTGGTTCATAGGAAATAAAAAAGTTTTTAGTGCATTAAAGCTACATAGGAAGACGAAATAATTAAAGGATTTTTTTTTATAATTTAGTAACAATATATTACACAAATTCCAAATTTATACTCAATAACAAACATAGATTATACTGTATGTGTATATATATATATATATTTCTATAGATAAAAAAAAGAAAGGTAGTAAGAAATGCTGAAGGATTTTGGACATGATTTTACATTTCCTCGTAATCTGGCTCAAATAAATATGAAGAGTAAACCGTATCATCCAGTTGAGTTAAATGCCAGTCTAGCGCTTCTCTTCCAACAAAAAAAAAAAGAGGGGAGTGGATTTGGAAAAGAAGGAATAGAAGACAAACGAACTATGAACATGTGTGGAGGAGCAGACACTTTTACATCCCTTAAAATATATCAGCCATTGTCCCGGTGAAACCCGACACACAACGCCACGCAGCGCTTTTCTCCACGTGTCGCCCTCACACCTCAAATGTTTTCCAGTCAGACATGCAGCGGATGTGTCGACGAGGTGTAAGAAAAATAGTCGATACAATATTCTACAGCAGAGTTTCCCAAAGTTTTTTTTCTGGGGAACCGTATTTTAAAAGTCCCAAACCTTCGCCATCCCAAGTCAATAGACATTATTTGTTAAACTCCTGGGAAACATGATGAAAAAAAATATTCTTGCGACCCACCTGAGGGTCGCGACCCATACTTTGGGAAACAATATTCCACAGCACTGTATGGGTTTTTTTTCTCCCCAACTCCCAGTCCAATATTCCTGGTGTTGGTTCATGTTCTTGTTCTTTTCTTTCTTCTCTAGTGATTCCAAATGTAGATCCCTCTGTTCCAGAGTTAGGAACTGATGTTCAGATGGAACAGAGTCTGAGACTAGGCTCTCGGGGGGCGGGGGGGGGGGTGGTGGGGGGGGAGCAGGACTAGAGTATGGCAGTATATCGTATCTTTGCCTCTGTATCGTATCGCCAGATTCTTGCTAATACACACCCCTAGTGTCGACACACCCGCTGCGTGCTGTGGCACTGACGGTTCTCTCGGTTCATCCGGACAAAGGTTTAGGCAACAAGGTACTGCATATACACTGAGAGATGGTCATGTGACAGCTGTGTCCGTCCTTCAAAATGTTTTTTTGTACATGTTTCAGAACTGAAGTCTTCAGGAGGTGCAGCCGTGCAGCGGGAGGACGTCCAGAGTCTCTCCTCCGGGCTGACCGCTCCTTCACACCTATCAAGTGAGTGGGCGCAGTCTGAAAGGTCTGCTCGATAAGTGTGGTCTTCCAGTTGGTCAGCTGATCAAATTAGATTCTCTTCCGTGACTCCCGTCTCTCCAACGTGTTCCTAGCGAGTGATGGTTGGCGCCACAATACGGTTCCTGTAACTTTTATGGCTTCTCTGGTTTGTTTTCATCACTTCATTTGTCAGTCTCTGCTGAGCTTCATCTTAGGTTACACGGTTTTACAGTCTGTTAAGAGTACTGGTCTGAGCACAGTGCAGGAGTTTGTAAAAATCAAAAGTCTCGGGAGAGATGAATAAACACAGAACGGCTTTAAAGCGAGTGCTGGACAAAGTAAAGACAAACATGCAGCATTTCTGTTTTTTTTTTTTTCGTTTTTCTTTCAGTGTTTTTTTCGTGTTCATCCTCCACTTTCCCTTTCCTCCAACACCTTCAGGTCGTCTGGACGTCTGTCGCTCAGTAAGGCCTCCAGACGGACTCATCCAAGCGCCCGGAGGCGCTCATGGCCGTCGGGGAGTTGCTGTGGCTGCCGTCGGCTTCCACGCCCTCGCTTTGGGCGTTCAGGCCCGGGTTCATCAGGCTGTTGGTCCCTCCGGTGCCGCCGGCCCCTGAGCAGGACAGTAGACGAGTGGGCGAGCGCTCGCCTCCGGTGTTCCCCGGCGCCACCATGGAGAACTGGTAGGATCCGGAGCCGGTGCCGTAGTACAGGTAAGAATTGGACTGGAAGTTCTGGCTCTGGTTGTTTGAGTAGGGCGGCGGCAGATAGGTGTGGTATCTAGAAGAGGCCGACATGCTGAGGCCGCTGATGCCAGTGCTGGAGGTGTTGGCAGAGTAGGGGAAAGCCCCGGGGTAATGCATGCGGGGGTCCGAGAAGCGAGGGTCGGTCAGTGGGGAGAGAGACGGGAACGTGGTCCTCTGCTGGAACAGATCCGTAGTCCCTGTTGGCGGAGAAAAGACAGAGAAGTTTTCATCAACCATGGGTTTCTATGAGAGTTGAACAAATCCAATAAATCCTGCTGAGGTTTGAACTTCCTGAAAAACGTCCTAAATCAGAGGAAAACGCACGACACGAGAGTTCAGATTTTGTGCGATACGTCTGTTCATGGAAATGTTGGCTCACGCTAATGAACTGCGACATTTTTTTCTTTTTTGCGTATAGCACTCACTGACAGCACATCATCCCACAGCCCTGTGCACAA